CTATGACCTAATGAAAAACCCTGAAACCTGTGGTGAGCTGTGGCGAGTTGATCCAAGTAGGTACTAATGGAAAAGGGGCTCTTTTCCAGTGTGAACCACATTAAATCTGCTCAGAGTTAGTATGAAGGTAGAACAACTTCCTCTGCATCTGTCCATGGTGCTGAATTGTTAATATCAGCTCTATTTAAGGACACTACACTGTACACAAATATCTGATCCTAACACTTCTCAAGTGTTAAGGCAAATGCAGATCTACTATGTAACTATGTAGTCTGTACATAGGATAGGATGTGCTGTGTTATCAACTGTAATAATATTATACACTCAAAGTCTGAGCCTCTAGAAAGATGCGCTGCACATGTGAAAGCAGTAAATCTGGTTTCATCTGCATGTTTCACTTAGGTTTTACCACCAAACCCAGCATCAGGGTTCACTTAGTAAACTCTTTTGATTACACTTTTTTGATGCATGTATCAAAAATAGAACTCACAAAAAGCACATTACTTCAGTTAACATTAATTCCCAACAGAGTAAACCCATGAACTTAATATCTTTCTGTCTCTTATTTTTCCTGCTGCCCAATTCTACACAATTTGTAGAAATTGTAGTAATACCATCAACAGGCATTAATTATAATCTTTTACTTTTAGACTTGTAGACAGACAGATATGGATGGAGGGAAAGAGAGAAAGATCGAGTGGTCTTACCCTCAGGTCGTCTTTGCTGCTGAACGCCTGCAGCAGCTTCTGATAGTGCTTGTCACTCATCTGTCGCAGAAGCGCCAACAAACATGCCACAAATTCTCCCTGACAACACAACACATAATGAGAGGGAGAAGATGAAGCTTTAATGTTGTTGCGTATTCAGGGAAAACTTTTATTTTTCTGTCCTTTTGGAGAAGAAATGAGTTCAAAAAATAAGATCTATTGTGCTTTGAAAATAATAGTGGAACTAGTAAGAATTGTACTTATGTTAACAGGATTTTTAAGAGTTTCCTTGACCTTCCTTCATCAGACAATGATGATCACATTGTCATCCACGTCACCATTTCCGCCATTCCAGAAACTCTGTTTATTAACCTAATTACGCTTCTACATATTGTCAAGTTTTGGCATTTATAGCAGTAAGCTAGCTTACAAACACACACACACAGTAAAACACACATACAGTAACATCCTGGAACTGTAGTCTCATGGAGGTTCCAGCAGGCTGGGGCCGGTTGCTAATTTCCAAGATAGTCCTCAGTAAAACTCCCAGCAGGCTTTCCACAATTAGCTCCACTTCCTCAGACACCACAAGCTCCTGAGAGGGAAAAGAAAACACACCCATGTGAGAATGAATCACAGGTCAAAGTACCACATTACCTTGAGAGAGAGAGTATTAGCATTTAGAAAAGAAAGAAAAAAAATGTGAATCTTGAACGTAAGAGTCACTAAAATTCAAACAGACTCCATCTGTGCACTTATGTCCTCTTAAAGTTACCTGGCATTGTTCTGCTAGCACAACACTCAACTGGATTCAACAACTGACACCATTCTGCCTCCGAGCCAACGTCTACACCCCTCACCGCCCTGCCACCGCTACCCTGTAATTCTATTTTCATCAGTTTTAATGAGTCTTGCACCAGAATGTGGACTAATAAGAAGTTTCAGGGCCATGCAGAACATTTTGAGACTATAACTTAAAAAAGAGAGAGGAGAATGGAAACGAATAGGAGAAGGTAGAATACAAAAGACGTAGAGGCAGTTAAAGATGAAAAGAAACTCAAATAGAGCGGTGAATAAACTGGTGTGTGTGTGTGTGTGTGTGTGTGTGTGTGTGTGTGTGTGTGTG